TTGTATGACTAGCATTATAACATTGTGCTGTATATGTATGACAGAAAAAGACAAACAAAAACAAAAAAATCAAGAAAATAGATCGCCTATGATTAAGAAAAGGATTAACTGTGCTACAGGTTGTTCGATATACTACAAGATTTATTCAACAATAGCTTTCGAAGTTGAAGCTGACGATACTAAGTTGATCGTGTAGACACGTTTAGACTACCCTATGGGAACCCGTGAGGATTGTAAATTACTTCCGTTCTATGTGTGGTTATCTGGACCAAGGTTTGCATGACTAGGAATTTGTTATGCTCCTGAGGATAATCAGAAAATGTGTACTAAAAGTTGCATCTGTTTAACCTCCGGCGAGAAGGAAATCGCCAAATTACAGACACACTAACAAGCTGGTCATAGAGGATGTCTGACCTCGTCAGTTACTCTAGATGATCCAGCGATGAATTTTACCTTTAGCATTATATAGCGGGGGATTGTCACCATAGCAACTCTCCTCATTAAAAAACATAAACAGTTACGAAATTAAAAGGTTAAGGAAAGTGATAAGAGGAGGAAAACATGAATACTTTTTTTGTATTTTTCTTTCTTTTTTTATTCATTTTCGGTTCAGGTCATTGTGACGTTGTATCTTTACTTCGATATCAGCAAAACAATGTACCTCGTCCTTACATGTACATGAACTTGAAAGTAGCAGTTTAATGTTTTTGATAATGAAAGAAGTTTGTTAAAAAACTGATCATAAATTTCAACTGAAAACAAATTAATTTTGTACATATATCAACCCCCTGAAAAACAACTGGAATTGACTTTCTGAAGTCGAAATCCTTCATGAAAAAGCGATAAGTATGTATTAGAATGCATGGTAAAATATCTCTGTGTTCGGCAATGTTTAAATGTTAATGTGTAAATTGTCGAAAAAAGAAAAACAAAAATGAAACTGAAATGACAAGAAGATACGACATGTACTACATTTTGAACACGAATCTAAACTTCGACATTGAAACGCGTTTTTTAAATATTCAGCATCAAACATATATTCCTGTACACGAATCTGTAAACTGCAGATTGGATCTGCTACCATCATCATCCAACGATGTGTGTGTACGCCAAAGTACAAAACGTTTTCTCCTAAAGATAGGAAATCTGAAAACCTCTATAATTCTAGATTTATATAAAGTTGGACCTTTTCACCCAAGGATACTAGTATATAAAACAAAATTGGGTCAAAATACTTTCATTGCAACAGCAGAAGATTGATACTAACGGGACACGCCCCTCGGCACTCAACACTTAAAATTAAAATCAATTAATCAAAGATTACTTCAGACTAAGTTTGAAAACAAATCTGTCATTTCTACTGACGGAGGAGGATTTCGAAGAATTGGTTCACTTTCCTCTGGTGGACCCCGCCCCTAAGGCCCCGGGTGCGAATGCCTCTTCATCAAATGGAGCTTCTGACAAGATCTGGTCAAAATATCTTTATCCCAACAGAAGAATGATTTCAAAGTGATTCCGGTATTTCCATATTTGGCCAAACCCCCTTTTTCTCGACAGGTCAAACTCACCAACTATCCAAATTTGATTTCCCATGGATGATTCAGACCATTTAGACAATCAAATAAATAAAGAAAAGAATTTTAAACAATTTACTGAACTCAAGCATCCACTTTTGGACCCCTCTCCTCAGACCCCTTTATACAAAATTGATTCCCCCTCAACAAATGATCTTTCTGACAAAAAAAAACCCAACATACCGTCGCAAAGGTAACATGAACACAAAAAAGAACACCTAAATGATTTAAATATAACAAAAGTACAAACAATACAAAGACAAAAATAGAACAAAGACACAAGACAACAAAAACACTAGATAACTTAAACACAAATATAAGAAAGAAACAAGTATAACATACATACAAATATAACATTCCGTTTATCTTCCGACACCAACGGACCGACACCTATCTTACCTTATAAACAAATTACATTGTATCTTTGATAAAGTGACTTTTGATGGATATGAATTTGCGTGCCTTATTCTGATGGAGTACTCCAAAAACAGACGATCAATGGTATCTCTAGCATTTATCACTATCTAATTACCCAAATGAGCGCGTGTGCCAACATTAACACTGTTAGCTGCGAGGTGATGTAGTAATCACTACAAACTATCCTAACTAGTTTGCATTCGTGTTGATATCTAGTCTAAAGGTTTCTGACTATGTATCCATGATTTTTCTTGGTACCACGACAAGGACAAAAATAGAATTGGGGTTAAAAACTCAGAACTCTTCAGACAAGTTGATACCCATTTCCTAGACCAGATACACAGTCAAATCCAACATCTATGTCCGGATACACATTAGAAACTCAGAACTCTTCAGACAAGTTGATACCCATTTCCTAGACCAGATACACAGTCAAATCCAACATCTATGTCCGGATACACATTAGAAACTCAGAACTCTTCAGACAAGTTGATACCCATTTCCTAGACCAGATACACAGTCAAATCCAACATCTATGTCTGGATACACATTAGAAACTCAGAACCCTTCAGACAAGTTGATACCCATTTCCTAGACCAGATACACAGTCAAATCCAACATCTATGTCCGGATACACATTAGAAACTCAGAACCCTTCAGACAAGTTGATACCCATTTCCTAGACCAGATACACAGTCAAATCCAACATCTATGTCCGGATACACATTAGAAACTCAGAACTCTTCAGACAAGTTGATACCCATTTCCTAGACCAGATACACAGTCAAATCCAACATCTATGTCCGGATACACATTAGAACCTCAGAATTCTTCAGACAAGTTGATACCCATTTCCTAGACCAGATACACAGTCAAATCCAACATCTATGTCCGGATACACATTAGAAACTCAGAACCCTTCAGACAAGTTGATACCCATTTCCTAGACCAGATACACAGTCAAATCCAACATCTATGTCCGGATACACATTAGAAACTCAGAACTCTTCAGACAAGTTGATACCCATTTCCTAGACCAGATACACAGTCAAATCCAACATCTATGTCCTGATACACATTAGAAACTCAGAATTCTTCAGACAAGTTGATACCAATTTCCTAGACCAGATACACAGTCAAATCCAACATCTATGTCCGGATACACATTAGAAACTCAGAATTCTTCAGACAAGTTGATACCCATTTCCTAGACCAGATACACAGTCAAATCCAACATCTATGTCCAGGTACACATTAGAAACTCAGAATTCTTCAGACAAGTTGATACCCATTTCCTAGACCAGATACACAGTCAAATCCAACATCTATGTCCGGATACACATTAGAAACTCAGAATTCTTCAGACTAGTCGATAAACTTTCTCTAGTCCAGATATACAGTCAAATCCAAAACCCATGTCCGGATACACAATTCAACTTAATTTTCTTGACCGGACAATCAGTTTTATCCAAACCTCTTGTCCAGGTACACATCTTAATTGATCTGTCTTGTTTGGACAAATAGTTAAATCCAACTCCTTTGTCTATATACAAAGCTCTGTCCTAAAACTTTTGTCTGCATAAAAGGGAATATTCCACTCTCTGTAGTCTTAAATCTTATTTTTATTCTTTTATCCAGATGTGCTTTATATCCTGTAAAAGTTTGTGGTAAACCTTTGTTACTACACTCATGTTTGACAACGACTGATGGTAATCTGGTCAAAGGGAGGTAATCACATCATGACTGTATTAGTACTCTGTGTTACTAACACTTTGGAGAGTTGGACTTCCTAATCATTCACACCTTATTCCCAGTTTTAAACATTAAATTCATTTAGAGGTGAGCTTTTCACTTGTGTCTTGTAAAAATCATTCCAGAACTTACAACCCTTTACAATACCCACTAAGACACTAAGAATCAGTGCTTGTCACCGTTTTGATCAGTGTTATTTTAATGCATATTGAACACATTCCCCACCCCCATCCCCACCATCCCAAAGAATGCCTACAAATATTACACATATAACATAGGTCCCTATGTTTTCAGCCACATTGCAAGTCTTAGTTTCCCATTAGTATCATCTGTTCATGTTTTCTAACTTGATAACTCATGTCTTCTTTAGTTTCATTATGTCGCTATGTTGTCACCATAATTCAGTGTCAGGACTTCCTCCACAGATCTTGTTTGTCCCGATTTTTGCACAGGATTTCAAAAGCGCGGAAACACATTATAGACTGCATTACTTTATATCCTGAAGTTTTGACAGTTCTTCCTCTCACTTGTCCAGTCTCTTTGTGCTCCTCCGCTAAGTTTGGGAGTGTGCAGTCATTTTTGTACACTTTCTTTTGTAGTCTTTACAGACTTGTATATAATCAGGGTTATTTCCAGTGATATAAGTTATTATACAGTGGTGGTCTTTAAATTTCTACTACTACTTACAAGCAGAAAACTTGTACACAAATGTTTTGTTCACAGATCAAGCACCACTTCTAGTGAAATCCTCAGCAAATTTTGTTCATATTCACAACATAGTATCTTGATTAATATCAAGTTCTACAACTGTTTAGTTTTTTTTGAGCAAAGATCAAATTTAAAGGGACAAAGTTCACACTTGTTATATTTGGAATTAAAAAGCTTATACACCAGTTACACCTAAATATGCTGATTTGTTATAATAATAACAACCCAGCTGGATTTTGGTGGTCAACGGTCACGATTAAAGGGTCAAGGGTCACAACTGACCATTTTAGAAGTGCAAAGCTTGTGTAAAAGATGTCACATGAACACCTGTTCAGGGACAGATTGTAACATCAAGTTCTACACCTTATCAGCTTGGTTGTCATTAGTCATGGTAAATGGGCCATAAAATGCTTTCCATTCGTGATATTACATGTAACCCTTAACAGTTTTAATTCATATTCAAAACATATTATCATTACATCAAGATTTACATCTCATTACAGATTTAAATTGTCATGGGTCAAAGGTTAAAAGATCACTTCGTTTAACTAAGTTTCACTTTACTGCTTTATTACAAAGTTAAAACACACTTGACAGTGTTGATATAATAAATAAATGAGGTTGATTCCCTCAGCACTTCTCGGCTGATAACACACACCATTCACTTTCACTCTCACATAGAATTACTACAAAAGTCTACAGAACTGGACACTTTCTCAATAAGTAAATTATTAATCTAAGTTTTCTTAATTGCTACTCAGTTGTGGAATAAAGTATATCATGTCATATATATAGATTTGTTTACCTAGTATTGAAGGATGTAAGATATTATCTAGGTTATAACATCACTGAGCCAAACTGACACATCAAGAATATTGGTAACAATATCAAAACATAAAATACATATTTATGTAAATCAGAACTGTTACCACATTGTTAACATCAAACAAATTTCAGGAATTTGAGATATGTATGTCAGTGAAGGTAATTCCACTTGTATCATGCACACCTCATAGTCCGTCACATTTACACACATGTACACTGTAGGTTGAAGTTGTGTTGTCTAGATTTATGGTGAGATCCTAAAGCATTGTAAACATATCAATAATACAAAATATAACCACACCAGTTTCATCCATTTACCGCATTCATAGTTTTGTGCAAACATAGCTTACTTTCTCTACAGCACTGCATAATGTTAATGTCTAAAACCTTTAGCTCCAAACAACAGAATCAATTGGCACAATCATTTTCCCGGCTTTTCTATTATCATAAGGCTTCCTACTACTAGTATATGAACGATGCATATCTGAATCAAACTCTTCTTTAGCAAACTTCAATCCATTTGGAACCCAAGTCTTGATTTTGTCTAAATGCCTGTGTTTTCTATTGGGAATGAGTTCCTGTGTGTCTAAGGAGTTAATAATCACATGTCACGGTTAATATAGCCCCTCGTCCATATATCACTTTCGTCCCTTTTTGCGCAAAGCTTGTCCTGATCCAGAAAATGCCTCAAATCCTTTCCCATCTTTGTCCTAGAAACAAACAAAACATTGAGTGTAATTTCACTTTATCACATAAACAAAGAAAACATAATGCACAACATTACTTTGTTCTTGAAACAAAGAAAGAAAGAAATTCTATTTTACAAGAAAGAGATCGGCTAAATGCTGCCACACAGATGAAGTCTAATCTGGGGTGGGGTTGGGGTGTTATTGGGGGTCACATATGATGTGGGGGTGGGGGTTGGGGTGGGGTATGGGGGTGGTGATGTATATTTCCTATTACTTACTTTTTCAGCTAATGTGATTATCAGTGATGTACCACCACTAATACATATATTGAAAGGAATACTGTTTGTCATGTTCATGAGAGAAAATTTTGAAATCCGCAGCATCAATATGAAGCCATTACAAGAGTAGAGACTTTTACAACCAAATGTAACCACATAATCGCATCTAAATCATTTAACAATTTCTGATGTAGTTTAGGAATAGTAATGAAAAAAAATTAAAAAAAAAACTTTTAGAAGATCTTATTCACTTTAAAGGGACTAGATGGTTAGATTTTCATTTCATAACTGGTAAAAGACATTTTAACATTTAAATATCAATTTAAAATTGTGCACTTGCTGTTCATTACCATTTGGGGAGTGTAAATAATGTCTTTGCACATGTGTGATGTAAGAAAATTTGGAAATCATAAAAAAAAGGGGGATTAAAATGAGGTTCTGAAAGGTCACATGATGAACTCATCTATGTCCCATCAGAACAGTGAATGGCAGTAGACACAACGAGTGTCGGTTTGAAGCTGATTATCTTTATAAATTTTTCTTATAAAAGGCTATAATTTTATGAAAAGTCTAATTTCAAGAATTGCAATACTTGTCTAAACTCAAACGCATGGAAGAGAAATAACAACATCTAACCATTTAGTTCCAAGTATTAGACGTTTTAGTTAACAACACTTACATCATCACCCTCTGTTGGTATCTGTCGCTGTGTTCGTATAAAGCTGAGAGATCCTTTCTTGTAGTTGTAGTTGGGTATTCCCCTTCACATGAAACAAAAAGTTCCCAATGTGCAGCAGGACAAACATGAACAAATAACGGTTTACATTAAATTGATATATTTTGTGTTTTATATTGCTCACAACGAAAGACCAGCTCTGAGATGTAGATTGGTTTTCAGAAAAATTTTAAATAGTTTTTTTTATGTCTTTAATTCATAATTGAACACCTACACTTCAAACTAAATTTTATAAACATTTTTCATATTTTCTCTGTACTGTAATGGCATGTTATACCAGTACATATTCCAGACATCTGTAAATTATCAATACATTCAATATAAAATGAATTCCTGCATAACACTTTGGACTTTTGTCTTTTCATATGCTTTGCAGTTATACTTCTAAGTTGAAAATGGACGATTTTTATGATGTTTTGGAAGAAATTTCCTTGTGGACTACATTTTGTAATGGCGTAGTTGACAGTGAAATTCGGTTACTAGCGTCAACAATTTTGATGTTTTCTGGTTGCTAACTGTACTTCTCTGGAGTATAACTCTGGCAGTCTTAGGTAGATTTCAACTAAATTTTGCATGAATTATCACCACAAATCACAGATTTTAAATTAAAAATTCCGACTTGGTAACCACTTTCCCGGATTTTAAGCAACCAAAAAAGAATATTTCAAATGGTTTCTTGACCGTTATCCACGCAATTCACCTGAATCACAAGGATAGTCTGTACCACAGAGTAGTTTATATCAAATTTTGGTCTCCTTTCTGCTTGTTCGTTAGCCTATTGTTAGGGAAGAAATTAATTTTTGAAAAAAAAACTTACAAAGTACTTTAACTTTAATAAAACAAGTCCGACAGGACCAGTAAATAGACAACTACTGTTTTACGTGAAAATCTATACTGAAAGGATAAAGAAACGCAGGGTAATATTTATTCCGATATTTTGAAAACGCGTTCTCCAAATAAAGTGAAACTTTGTGGATTGAGTAATTAGGTCATATTACACCTTGTCATGTATCGAAAATTTAGTCACGGTACAGTGTGCAGCTCTGGTAAATGGAGGAAGGAAAAACAAGAATCTCGTGCACCGTGTTGTTCTGGTCTCATGCAGCGTTGGTCAAGTCACTCTTTGTTAGATTGGCCGCCATATAGCCCTGATTTGTCCCCGATCGAGCATCTTTGGGACCAGTTGGATAGACAGGTTCGAAAGCGCCAGCCACCCCCTGCTACTCGAGAGCAGTTGACCAGAGCTCTGATTGAAGAGCGGGACAACATCCCCATAAGACGGATTAACGCTCTCATGAACTCTATGACCAGAAGTATAAGGGCTGTGACCACAGCAAACGGCGGACACACAAGATATTGATGACTCAGTTCAATTTCAATTTCAAAATCCTATGGGTCCATTCAATTTAATCGTTAGTACCTCTAAACCAATTGTCAGATGCAAACTACAGACTTTGGAAATTTTTAAGCTTTAATTTATCTGGAAGTATACAAAATTTCGTTTTAAATGAAGCCCGATATCATTCTTAATTTCTGGTTTAAAGTTCACCCTGCGTTTCTTTATCCTTTTAGTATAAATCATGACATATTTGTTCATGGGGTGTTTTTCAATACATATACCAGAACATATACCAATATAGCACCTGTACATATAAAAGTAGATTTCTTTGTGGTAACTGCTAATGACAACCTGTAAGAAACACACCAGCTGTGTCTATTTTTTGTATTAATTTTTTCTCACCTTTTTGGAGGTCCTGTAGAGTTGATATGGTTGTCAGTTTCCATTCCCTTCTTCTTACCATCCAGTCTGTTACCAGAACCACTAAATGCCTGCAAGAATAGTCCACAATTATTTGTTACTGGTATTGCAATTCTAACTCTATGTGACAACCTTTAACCCTTGAACACTGACTGATGACCTCCTTAATAAGATAAGGAACAGTACATGTATTTGATGTTATGATACTATGCTGTAAGTATGAATTTACTATTGAGAGTTTCTCAAAATAGCACATTGATTTGGAATGCAAAGTGAAAGGCCACAATACAAAAATACAGGCTGACAGACAGACAAATGGACAGACAGACACAGCTAACATTATCTGTCACTGCCCTCCCCCATCCCCTCTCACCATCCCTTTAAAACACTTGGGACATAAACATGGGGTAAAACAAGATCGTAAATTTGTGTTCCAATACGAGGTTGAAGTTAGCATTTGTGATCAACACCAGGATAGAGTTAATTCATGGGTTTAATATGAGGATGGAGTTGGTTATTGTATCAAACACAAGGTATTGGTGGATCGGATTAATTTATTTGATATGATTCCAAACTTACCCTAAATGCATTATCCATACAGTCAGCAACATCCATAGCATTCTGGAACAGAGCAATAGATCAGACAACATAAAATCTCCCAAAGTCCGACAGCATAAAATCTCCCAAAGTCCGAGATCAGAGCAATAAATTAGACAGCATAAAATCTCCCAAAGTTAGAGATCAGAGTAATAGATCAGACAACATAAAATCTCCCAAAGTTAGAGATCAGAGTAATAGATCAGACAACATAAAATCTCCCAAAGTTAGAGATCAGAGTAATAGATCAGACAACATAAAATCTCCCAAAATCAGAGATCAGAGTAATAGATCAGACAACATAAAATCTCCCAAAATCAGAGATCAGAGTAATAGATCAGACAGCATAAAATCTCCCAAAGTTACAGATCAGAGTAATAGATCAGACAACATAAAATCTCCCAAAGTCACAGATCAGAGTAATAGATCAGACAACATAAAATCTCCCAAAATTAGAGATCAGAGTAATAGATCAGACAGCATAAAATCTCCCAAAGTTAGAGATCAGAGTAATAGATCAGACAACATAAAATCTCCCAAAATCAGAGATCAGAGTAATAGATCAGACAACATAAAATCTCCCAAAGTTAGAGATCAGAGCAATAGATCAGACAACATAAAATCTCCCAAAGTTAGAGATCAGAGTAATAGATCAGACAACATAAAATCTCCCAAAGTTAGAGATCAGAGTAATAGATCTGACAACATAAAATCTCCCAAAGTTAGAGATCAGGGTAATAGATCAGACAGCATAAAATCTCCCAAAGTCACAGATCAGAGTAATAGATCAGACAACATAAAATCTCCCAAAGTTAGAGATCAGAGTAATAGATCAGACAACATAAAATCTCCCAAAGTCACAGATCAGAGTAATAGATCAGACAACATAAAATCTCCCAAAGTTAGAGATCAGAGTAATAGATCAGACAACATAAAATCTCCCAAAGTCACAGATCAGAGTAATAGATCAGACAACATAAAATCTCCCAGAGATCAGAGTAATAGATCAGACAACATAAAATCTCCCAAAGTTAGAGATCAGAGTAATAGATCAGACAACATAAAATCTCCCAAAGTTAGAGATCAGAGTAATAGATCAGACAACATAAAATCTCCCAAAGTTAGAGATCAGAGTAATAGATCTGACAACATAAAATCTCCCAAAGTCACAGATCAGAGTAATAGATCAGACAACATAAAATCTCCCAAAGTCAGAGATCAGAGTAATAGATCAGACAACATAAAATCTCCCAAAGTTAGAGATCAGAGTAATAGATCAGACAACATAAAATCTCCCAAAGTTATCAGAGATCAGACAACATAAAATCTCCCAAAATCAGAGATCAGAGTAATAGATCAGACAACATAAAATCTCCCAAAGTCACAGATCAGAGTAATAGATCAGACAACATAAAATCTCCCAAAGTTAGAGATCAGAGTAATAGATCAGACAACATAAAATCTCCCAAAGTTAGAGATCAGAGTAATAGATCAGACAACATAAAATCTCCCAAAGTTAGAGATCAGAGTAATAGATCAGACAGCATAAAATCTCCCAAAGTTAGAGATCAGAGTAATAGATCAGACAACATAAAATCTCCCAAAGTCACAGATCAGAGTAATACATCAGACAACATAAAATCTCCCAAAGTTAGAGATCAGAGCAATAGATCAGACAACATAAAATCTCCCAAAGTCAGAGATCAGAGTAATACAGTGACTATATATTCTACCAATTAGCAGTTAGCATAACAACATATGGTATTTGAAATGTTTTTGAACAAATTTGACGTTTTCACAATATTCATTGTTTAGGTAGACTTATCAGGAAAAAAGTTTGTCAACTGTTAAAGTATGGATACTGTTACACAGCACAAAATTGAAATGTAACATAAGAAATCTAAATGTCTTTGCAGAATAAATGCTGGTAATCCTACAGTCCATTCAACAATTATATAACAAGTTTTCAGCACTTTTTATAGATATACCATATAAAAACTGTGTACATGTCCAGTGACCTGTATGTATGAACTGTTTACATGTCCAGTGACCTGTATGTATGAACTGTTTACATGACCTGTGACCTATATGTATGAACTGTTTACATGACCTGTGCCCTGTCTACATGAACTGTTTACATGACCTGTGACCTGTCTATATGAACTGTTTACATGTCCTGTGACCTGTATGTATGAACTGTTTACATGTCCTGTGACCTGTATGTATGAACTGTTTACATGTCCTGTGACCTGTATGTATGAACTGTTTACATGTCCTGTGACCTGTATGTATGAACTGTTTACATGTCCTGTGACCTGTATGTATGAACTGTTTACATGTCCTGTGACCTGTATGTATGAACTGTTTACATGTCCTGTGACCTGTATGTATGAACTGTTTACATGTCCTGTGACCTGTATGTATGAACTGTTTACATGTCCTGTGACCTGTATGTATGAACTGTTTACATGTCCTGTGACCTGTATGTATGAACTGTTTACATGTCCTGTGACCTGTATGTATGAACTGTTTACATGTCCTGTGACCTGTATGTATGAACTGTTTACATGTCCTGTGACCTGTATGTATGAACTGTTAACATGTCCTGTGACCTGTATGTATGAACTGTTTACATGTCCTGTGACCTGTATGTATGAACTGTTTACATGTCCTGTGACCTGTATGTATGAACTGTTTACATGTCCTGTGACCTGTATGTATGAACTGTTTACATGTCCTGTGACCTGTATGTATGAACTGTTTACATGTCCTGTGACCTGTATGTATGAACTGTTTACATGTCCTGTGACCAGTATGTATGAACTGTTTACATGTCCTGTGACCTGTATGTATGAACTGTTTACATGTCCTGTGACCTGTATGTATGAACTGTTAACATGTCCTGTGACCTGTATGTATGAACTGTTTACATGTCCTGTGACCTGTCTTTATGAACTGTTTACATGTCCTGTGACCTGTATGTATGAACTGTTTACATGTCCTGTGACCAGTATGTATGAACTGTTTACATGTACTGTGACATGTATGTATGAACTGTTTACATGTCCTGTGACCTGTATGTATGAACTGTTTACATGTCCTGTGACCTGTATGTATGAACTGTTTACATGTCCTGTGACCTGTATGTATGAACTGTTTACATGTCCTGTGACCTGTCTTTATGAACTGTTTACATGTCCTGTGACCTGTATGTATGAACTGTTTACATGTCCTGTGACCAGTATGTATGAACTGTTTACATGTCCTGTGACCTGTATGTATGAACTGTTTACATGTCCTGTGACCTGTATGTATGAACTGTTTACATGTCCTGTGACCTGTATGTATGAACTGTTTATATGTCCTGTGACCTGTAGGTATGAACTGTTTACATGTCCTGTGACCTGTATGTATGAACTGTTTACATGTCCTGTGACCTGTATGTACCTGTATGTATGAACTGTTTACATGTCCTGTGACCTGTAGGTATGAACTGTTTACATGTCCTGTGACCTGTCTTTATGAACTGTGTACATGTCCTGTGACCTGTATGTATGAACTGTTTACATGTCCTGTGACCTGTATGTATGAACTGTTTACATGTCCTGTGACCTGTATGTATGAACTGTTTACATGACCTGTGACCTGTAGGTATGAACTGTTTACATGTCCTGTGACCTGTCTTTATGAACTGTTTACATGTCCTGTGACATGTATGTATGAACTGTTTACATGTCCTGTGACCTGTCTTTATGAACTGTTTACATGTCCTGTGACCTGTATGTATGAACTGTTTACATGTCCTGTGACCTGTATGTATGAACTGTTTACATGTCCTGTGACCTGTATGTATGAACTGTTTACATGTCCTGTGACCTGTCTTTATGAACTGTTTACATGTCCTGTGACCTGTATGTATGAACTGTTTACATGTCCTGTGACCAGTATGTATGAACTGTTAACATGTCCTGTGACCTGTATGTATGAACTGTTTACATGTCCTGTGACCTGTATGTATGAACTGTTTACATGTCCTGTGACCTGTATGTATGAACTATTTACATGTCCTGTGACATGTATGTATGAACTGTTTACATGACCTGTGACATGTATGTATGAACTGTGTACATGACCTGTGACCTGTATGTATGAACTGTTTACATGTTCTGAGACCTGTTTGTCCTGTGACCTGTATGACCTGTGACCTGACTTACATCTGTTTCTATATCCTCTTCCTCCTGCTTTCTCATTGGTGTTGGCTCCTTGTAGCCTACAGGTGGTGCAAAGTCTACCTATAATCAAATTATTCAAAGGAACATCAGAGCAAAACACAAAATAACAAATTCAGAACTAAAAGCATCTATTTAAGTTAAATCCAAATAACATGTACCATAGCACTTCAAAATCTTCACTAGAATTGATTTAAATTGTCTGAGATAAATGACACCAGTGAAAAGTAAATTAAATCATCACTTCATCCCATCAGCAATGTTAAAAGTCACACATAATCCCTAATGGCCTTTAAGGCATTTTTTTATCATTTTACTTATTCAGAATAAATTTGTCTTCAATGTGTTCATATTCTTCAGCTGTCTGTTTTCTTTTTCTTTTCTTTGCAAATCTCAATACCCTTATCTCTATTCTTATGCATTAAATAACATTTTTATTTACCGTAAATGTACATATTTTAGCAGTAAACATATTGAAGCAGTGAAAATATTGCACTGAAATATGACTGCAGTAATGACAGTTTCTGTATGTTACTTATCTAGTAAGCCATCCAAATGTGCAAATTTATCATTTTGTTAATTTGTAATAAAGTATTAACATTTGATTGAGCTAAATTAAGTAATATAACTTGACAAAGTTACTTGTGCCCCAATTTGTTATGATGATGATAAAGCATCTTATAGACATCAAAAGGATCTAGATATCCATGTTATAGACATCAAAAGTATCTAGACATTCATGTTATAAACATCAAAAGGATCTAGATATCTGTGTTATAGACATCAAAAGGATGTAGACAACCATATTATAGACATCAAAAAGATGTAGACATCCCTATATAGACATCAAAAGGAAATAGACATCCATGCTAGATCAGTTAAAAACATTGATGTAGAGTAATAACACAGGAACACTAACAAAGGGGCTATTAATATGTAATATTTATACAAAGTTTGAAGTCACATTTGTTTATAAAACTGTGTTAATTTGAAATTGCGTATAACCTATTTTCTATCATTTAGAATGTTTATATAGAATCTGTTATCTGGCAACAGCAGATTTTACAAAACAACAGAGGGTGAAAACCCTCTGAATACATCAAATGTTTTTTCTATAAACTGTCTCAACAGTGATAACTCTAATTATAAAATTTTACAACTATTTTGATGAGGCATCCAACATACAATGTACAGAAATGTATGCATCCTTCAACAAGTGCAGATGTTGGGCTTATTAAAAAGGCATACAGACAGATGAAAACATATATTAAATTACTTACGTTCATATCACACTCAATGATAGATACTGCTTTATCAGGCTTTGTCTCCAATACCAGCATCTCATATTCCTGTGTGAACCAACATTTATAAAGAGTTACTTAGTAGTCTTGACTGCTACATCTTCAGGACAATCTATTGGGACTTGATGAAGATACTAAGAGAAAGCCAACGGATATAAACTAAGGACCTGTGTGTATAAACTAAGGACCTATGTGTATAAACTAAGGACCTATGTGAACAAAATGGTTGGTTGGTATTTTTTAAAAATAAAATTTCAGGCATAACTTTATGGGAATCGCCATGCAGATATTAATACAGGCCTCATAGGGTTTCAAGTTGATGCTTGTTAAAAAGTAAAAAGATCAAATCAGAAGGTCCATCCTTATTTCATGAATACACTACCCTGCTCAAATCAATACAGACCTCCTTGTTTGTGTAATTTCTCTCACCTTTACATTAGACACACATGTTTATACTATTCACAGCAGTTCAAGGCCTGTGTCGACAGAAACACATGTCAATAATTTCAGATAGTTTTCCTTATATAAAGAGCTAGCCTTGTTTGTGTGGTTGTAGCAGTCTGGCTCCAGGTATAGAATCATTTGTTCTGGTTATATCCCCCAACGGTATCTATGATGTTACATAAAAAATGTGAAGCATTGGGAAAACAAAAACACATACCTAAGAAGGCCAGCTGGGTAAGAGAAAAATTAACCCCCTTGTTGGTGAGATGGTGGACCTCCATCCCAAGAATAAGATGATTAAGTTGCAAACACTCGACTAGTTATGTGTTTAATTAAACTTAGTCAATTATCCCCTCTTGTTGAAATCCCCAAAAGATTGTGTATGTATACGGAATTTCTGCAGAACTAATGTAACTTATGACATTACCTCCAGGAATTACACCAGCACACATTTCACTTACCCTTTCATTGTATTTAATGGAGATTATGTCATCTGTTGACAAACAAGCAAAACTTCTCAACATGTTCTCCAAGCTAAAGGTAAAACTTAAGGATTATATTTGTATTCAGAGAACCTTCAGAGTACTGTTTGATATCAATGGTCTTGTAACTACCACTCAAAATGTACTTGTGATCAATTATATTCTAATGATATTGTATTGTTTGCCTATGTATCAAAATAACAATATCAACCTGTTTCCTGTCATACTGCCTTATTCCTGATAAACCTACCTACACCTGTGATTGATGGGTTTGATAAGAAAGCATTCTTCAAATAACCTTGAAAATTTATCTTATTATTAATAACAGTCCCAAGCTTGATTTTGATAAAAATGTGAATCACTAAATGATAAATATCCCATAGAAAGGATTTTTGTTATATAAATCAATATTTTGTAGACTTCAACAAGATACAGATTACAAAGCATGTGATGCAGTAGTAATGCAAGCACCTTTCATCTAGGCATCCAGGTTTCCGTGGATGTAATTGATGTAAGAAGGTATGGGGTCACCCTGCCTGACCAGTGGGTTAATTCTGGGTACCCTGATTTCCTCCCACAGCAAGACCCCTTGCATGCTTCCACCTAAGCTAACTTGCTTCCACCCAGGACAAAAAGAATGATTAATTTAAGTTGGAGTAACTTTTTCCCCAATGATTGTAAAAGAAAGTTTAATAAAATAATAACTGATACTGGTAATACTTGACGATCTTGTGCTTAGTTATATTTTGTCTTCGTCTTTAATGGTTATGATATAACAATTACTACAAAGCACCTGATTGGATGTAACACATTATTATGTTGATGTCAAATTCTGTCAATATACTGAGTACATTAATATAAAGGATACACAGCTTTTGGATTGGTGATATCCAGGAAGTCCACACTCTGAGGTTGGAAACGTGCAAACGTGGCGACTTTGAGGGACATATTTTCAACTGTCACCAGGTCTCCTTCTGTCAGTATCAAGTTCTTCATCATCTGTCAAAATCACAAATATCACATTAAATGGATGTCAACAAGGTTAGATAAAATGGAGACCAAATCTAACAAGATGACAAGCTGACACCAATACATTGACAGAATCTATCTTATATAGAGGCTATCAGTGACAAAACCTAGACTTAAGTTTTAAGTGTCAGACCAATTGTACCTAACATTGTGATCAGACTTACCCAGTACGGTATGAAAATCCTGCCTTCATCTGCAACAAACTCTAGTACACCACAATGTGTCTCCCTAGCCATGTCCTTGTTGCTGAGCTTAAACAACATGGGGTATTGTATGTGGAGGCGAGCTACAACAGAGAGGTAATCAAACAGCTCAGTACTAATACTATAGATATAACGATAATATATTTATTGTTGAACTAGGTTCTTTGACCATAACTTAAGAAAGATCTGTGTTGTTTGGTTAGTTAAACATTCTTTATGCTTCATTCAGTGTTTTTTCATTCTTCACAACAAATAATCAATAATAATATAAACATGAATAATTATTATCAATATGTTCTAAGCAAAAAGAAAGCTGCTTACTCAATTTGTCCAAAGCAGATGGTGGCATTATAACTGAAAAGATATAAATACAATATGTAAAAAGAATACACAAGTATCCATACATGTTCTTCATAACCCTGTGTACACTGTCCTACCATCCTATGGAAGGTTTCTTTCAAGGTAATATTCTTTTAGATTTTGAAACCAGAAGAATTTATCTACATATAATCTTCTACTTTTTGGTCAGAGCAAAGCCATTCTAATGTACAGAATCATCCATTTTAACAATGTCAATTGACAGTATCATTCAATCATATTGTAAAAAGAATAGTTATATATATCCTTTGGTCTTTTTTGACATCAAATGTCTTTCTGTAGGAAAAAAGCCTTGTGGAAATCAAACCAATCTAACCAGCTGCATTCTGTCACTTCTACAAATTACACTTAAGATGAATTGACAGAACAATGTTGTGTATATATATTACTCACTTTTGCCTCCTCTCTCCACATCATCTCGATCACCCATCATTGACACAGAATAACATCTGTATGTCTCCTTAAATTTGCTCCCCATATCAAACTGTCCTCTGCCGAAACGGAACTGTCAAAAAATAAGGCAAATGGTTAGATCTTTTGTTAATATACCCTTACTTTAACACATCTACAGCAACTATGAACCTGACTCAAACAGAATAAATCATCACTATTTTTAGTTATTAGTGAAAATTTTTTTCTTCTTCATTACACTTTACACAATCAGGAAATTCCATATTTTTCATTGAAAATTTCTGCAACATTAGTGACACAATTTAGTATTGTCCATTCAGTTCAACTTTGCTCTTACTTACATATTTCAATACTATAAGTTTTCAATAAATCATTTAATTGCCCTTTCTAGGACTGATCTGATTTGCCTTCTCATTATTGTTCCCAAGTTTCATTCTTGCTTTCATTTTTCTCTCTACCAATGGAAATCATGTGCGTTTATTTTTATTATTTTGTTCAAATCAATTTTTAAAGATAAAGAGTAAAACTTGTGTTATGTGTAGTTCATACAATGATACCAACCATGTTGGATGATATTTGCTCGTGATGATCTCTTCTACAAGTGTTTATTTCTAGACGTGACTCAATATACAGACGGTCAGACGTGTACGACCAACAATGTGTGTGGTGATGACAGGCAAGAACACACACCGGATGTATATAAAGTGAAAATACAAATACGCATGCGCATTGACAATTAAGCATCCGGTAAAAACCGCGCCATAAACAAATGTACAAATGAAAAAATGTTTGTGAAAGATTTCAGAAAGGGTTTTTATGATGTTGTGCAAAATCATGTAAGTATCTGTACGATCACTAGTATCTTATTTGCTTGTATGAAATTTGACCATTCATAAGCTCATTCACGTAATTTGTTTTTAACGCGCATGCATATTTTAAAACAAAACATTTATCTGTTTCTCGTGATGCAATATATGTCACCTAGCACGATTGTCTATGTGAAGGAGTCGTGATCAGGTATATAGAAAATACTTACATTAGCTATTATTTCGACACACATAAACAGCTGATCGATACAGAAATTGAGATTAAGGCATAACATTTTGGGCTTTATTCAGAATTGTTAGGTATATGTAACAATTACATGCATGCTAACATTAGAACAGTAGTTTTAACCCAAAAAGTTACTACCACGATACAAGTAATGAGAAGCAAATAAAATCACAGATAGCCACTATGAAAAATATCACTTTGAGCTTAGCTAAAGAACTGAAAGCTGTAAAATGAAAATAATAAAATGAATTAATAATCCTAAAAGATGAGTTGAGCCCATATCTTGTAGTGATTACATTAGATATTAATCGCGGTTAAAGCTATTCTCTTGTCTGCATATTATTAGATATTTTTTATTTGATCAATTCTTGGTTGAAACATGGAGAAATTTTCTTTCTTGACAGTTTTAAAAACTCCATATAACATGTCTTTAAGGTGTCTCATTTACAGTTAATCAGTAAAGAAGTATTTTGGTTAACTTTAGCATCAGGGATTATGCTATATCTAAACATGAGTTCCTGTGAAATTTGCATACAATAAATACAAACTAAACTGCTAAATGTATGTACAGTCTAGACAGAATTCTTTCTCAGTGAATAACTTTTCATTTGAAATTTAAACAAAAGAAAAGAAAAAAATGTGAATGAAAAAAGACAAAATACACTAACAAAAGAAAAACACCATTAGAAAATACAAAATGAAAAGTAATGGAAAATTATCAACATGATTTTTGAACCCATGTCACATTGATCTATAAGTGTCACTTAGAGTATTTGTGATTTTTTCACATTATGCACAAGAAAGTATTTACATTAAAAACACACATTAACTAATTAGCTATCAATTATAACAATTATTTTTTTTTAGATTTATACTTGATTCATAATATTATTGATCTAGTTACATTCTATTTTCTCTTGATCAACTAAGTGTTTTTGTTTGTTTGTTTTTTTTGCAGAGAATTCTGGTTTTGGTTGCCTTTGATGTTGATGCTCTGTGTGCATGCAAAATACTCCAGGTAATTATGATCATGTAGAAAGATAAAATTATTGTCACTCCATATATTTGATGGATCACATTGGTTGACTATATATTGATATATTACACTATATTTATTATATTTCAGTCATGACACCATAGCACTTCATATGTATCACATGATAAGTGACAGTGTAATGTATGTTTTACAGTAATAATTAGTGATTGGAACCAGTTCAGTTTTATAATTGATAATTGAATACACATACTCAAATGATTATCAATTACAACTGGTTTCATTTCATGTCATAACTGCAAAACAGCTAAAGTTTACTTATTTCTTGAATTAAAAATATAAAATTTGAAATCAATGTTTTTTTAAAGAAGTTTTGAATCTCTTACTATATTTGTATTTTACATCACTGATTAAAGTCTTTCAAGGCTGCCAGTTGCAAATAAGCAAATATGCATCAGGAATTACTTTCACGTACCCTGTAATCTGTGAATTTCTGAGTCATTTGTGAACTCTGTCATTTAATTGTCTTTGCAATTTTGGCATCCGTCAATTGGTTTCATTTCTTTTCCTATTTTCTATTATATTTTATTAATATTGTTTTAATGTTATATATACAGGAAAGTTGTTATAGGAATGACGTGAATTTTCAGTATCATAAATAGCAACTTCATTTATGAATTTAGCAAACGATATACAATATAAGTGTCAATTCTGATGTTATTTATGTAATGATAAATTACATTGTGAATATACCCTTTGATCCCTTTCTTTTAATGTTGCAGCTTATTTGTGATGGTGTATTTAGTGTCCAGTTAACACCAGTGTTTTTTGTTTCAGTGCTTGTTTCAGAGTGACCAGATACTGTACACTATAGTGCCTGTATCTGGACGTGAGGAGTTGGAGCGTGCATACATAGAGAATTCCGAAGGGGTAACTTGTTTCCTTCAGAATTAATTGTTAACATAGTCTTGTGATGGGACCATGATGGGATATGTAATTGATTATCTAATCATTTAGCCTTATCTGATGATTGATTGTAATATTTCATAATCTATCATTTGTACCTTGATATTTGCTTGTGTTTTAGCAAAAACAAGATTCATAGTTTGCATAATAAAGATGCCAAGTGCCAATAATGTTCAATCTTTTTATACAAATTTCAGGTAATGTATTTAAGGTCAAAGTTTAAAAAAAAAAAACAGAAAATATTACTGCAATAGAATGCATTCACTTTCCATAGAAATCAAATAGTCTATCTGATTTTAACGGATAGTCGATTATGGATTTTATCCCATTTCCTATCATTGTTATACTCACTGTTAATGGTGTTGAGATTGACTAATTTAGTCAAGGATTAGTAGTTTGAAATTGTTGTCGTCAATCAAATGATTGATCATACAAACTCTCAGGATTGATTATGTCAAGGATTAGTAGTTTGTAATTGTTGCGGTCAATTAAATGATTAATCATACAAACTCTCAGGTTTCTTCATTGTTAATACATGACATTCATATTGCTTCAGGGCTCTTCATAAGTAAATACTCTTGGCTTACCACAATTTAAACATGTATTTAATCCATATGTTCTGGGAAATTTTTCCCTTATTAAATAAATTTGGAATTTTATACGGCAATGCAATATTCATTACTCATTCCTTCCTCTTCCTGCTGTTCTTTAACGTACAGTCCAGATTAATCACTCTCTAATCACCTCTGTTATTATTGCTTTACAGATCAAGCATGTTTTGATGATAAACTGTGGAGGTACAATAGATGTAGTGGAGACATTACAGCCTGAAGAATGTGTCCGCTTCTATATCTGTGACAGGTACAGTATACAACTGATACAGACACACTGAACTGATTTTATGTTAAAAATGAGTACCTGAATTCACTGTTGTTGCTTCTTATCCACCATGGTCATCAGCCAGGTCCATCCATCATCAAGTGCTTCAACCCCTATCCTGGCACTCCCTCTAGTTGGTGGGTTAGCAGGGGTGATCAGTCCCTACTCTCGAACGGTTACCTTCCAGCTCTTTCTTTTTCCTGCATCAACAGCCATCATGATGCCGGCTCTATCACTGCCTTCTTTCTTGTTAGTCTTTCTTGCTAGATGCCAAAGGTGCCTAGCATCTCCCAGTATGATTTGGTCAGGAATCCTTTGCAGTTGCTTCCACAGAGACGTTCCATGCTTGCCAGGATTTTCTGCCACATTCCTCTGTCAATTCTGCATACCTGATCTTCCATTCATGTAATGTTTCACACCACATCTGCAAAGGCATTCAGTTCCACCATCAGTCTCCTTCTTTCTGGGTGACAGTGTCTGTCTGATCACAGTGTTGTCTCCAGGAGACTAATGACAGCCATATATAAACATATCAAAAACTTGTTAACTTATGAGAACTTTGGAGTATATAATTGATTCCTCTGAAATGTTTCATTTTGTAAGTCACTATATGTGATAGAACTCTTGGATGAAAATTGGCCTTTAGTCAGATTTGGCTTATGCTAGAGGTTTTTAATTTGAATGTCTAACAATTAAAGTTGGTCAGAAGTGTACTGATAAATTATAAGCATGGACTACCTTGGAAAGTTGGGTACGGAAAATATCATTGTGGTAGAATCTAGTGCTACTTTTTTCCAGCAAGCTACTACACTTCTTTAGACTTGCAGTTTCATGAAAATTGTGATAGTCATTGTTATGATATATAATGTTAAATATTTAGATACTTGGCAAAATGATTAAATTCACATCTTTAGAACTGTATTAGTTATGCTCTCTGCACCTATTGAACATTTTCAAGGCAAAATTGAAGGTTCCATGTACGACACCTTGTGGGTAAGATAAGATGACAAATTTGATCTTTTGATGTACCTCAGATGCATCTCTGGGTCACATAATGGTATCTTGTACTGGCTTTGAGGTTAGGTGTCACTCATTTTGCTTTTGCCTTCAATTTTGTCAGGATAAACATTAGCTATTACTGTAGTAGATGTTCAACATTGTTTATTCTACCAGTCAACATCCTTTATACAGTATAAACTATTATAAAGATAAACTATGTTCATCTTTATGTATTTGCAGTCATCGTCCTATAGACATACACAATGTATACAATGCTGTACAGGTGAAACTGCTAATGAAGGAGGATGAGTTTGAGGACCTGCCAGAATATGACCAAGTCTTCAGAGATGAGGTATTGATAACTGATATCAATAAATGTTATAATAGATAAACATGATGGTGCTTCCCACACTGGTTGTAAAAAAACTGAAATTTTTCAATATTAACATCTTTAATTACTTGAAATACCCAGCAATACCATCAGTATTACCTTGCAGTGAGCTTAGGAAGTCAGCATCCTAACATTTAGCTGACTTAAGGTCAGTAGGCGGGCATTTGCTTGTTACAAGACAGTGTAATGGTATTTGCTGGTAAATCTGTATAAAAAACAATATATAGATGGGCTTATTACCAGGTAATGGCTTATTGTTTGATAAATACGGTCATGATAACCATTATACAATAAATATCTCAGTTAAAATTAATTTGTCAAGCATTTTTATTGGAGAACAGGCCTAGATGTCTAAAATCCCTCCCAGTTAATTGAACCAAAGAAATGGAATTCCTTATAATGATTTATGTTCTCCAATATAGTAAACAGTATAAGGAGATTTTTTTATATCGTTTAGTATACCTGATATGGAGAAGACTTTCTTTACAATCATGTCCTATACAAGACAAGTCTTTAAGTATTGTTCTATTGGTGAAATGATTTTATAAATTACAATCTTTTCCACTCGACATCACAGCTATAGCTACTACGCAGTCGGTGTACAAAGCTAATGGGAAAATACTTGAATGATAGTTTGATTATAACAGCAGTATTATAATGATCAGGGAATTTAACGAAGGATATCTTTTCATTGCATTCAAGACTGACGATGAATCGGGTAATGAGAGTGATGATTCCGAGGCGTCTGGGAAGAGGAAAAGATTTGATGATGATTACTTAGAAAAGAAACGACAAAAACGAATATGGAATGAAGAAAGGTGAAACAATTTTTTATAAAAGATTTGTATCAGCTTTAATTTTAAGGAAAGGTTGTCAACCAGTTCTTATCTTTTTAGTATTAATGTTCTAACATACATGGAACTGTAATTATGTTACCTGGTAATCAGGTGTAATTTGATGTAGTAAACATAGTAACTATATGAAAATGTATGATCAGGCCAGCCTCCATACAAGGGGAGATTTGGATATCAAATTGCTGTGATTCATATTTTTAGGTCATGTGACCTAGAAGGCCATCAGCCTTTTTTCATTAGGACTGATTCCATTATGTCAAACTGAAAACAAGATCCTTGGCAAAATATGGTAACATTTTAGGGCAATTTCCCAAAATTGAGAGATTTCAAGGAAAGCATACATTGTCATATTTATTTCTTTATAGCGAAATTTCTGTATTTCTGAGTAGATGACAAAACCAATGCCTTTTATATAGCCATGGGTACATGTATTTCAAATTTCTTATGTGTTTTATTGTTTGGTTTCAGGTCCAAATTATTATTTGAATATTCTCAGTTTTCTACATATGGAACTGCTGTAAGTATGAGAATAGCTTTGATTTCCTTTAGCTTGTGATAAGAAATCTGTCAAGTAAGGAAGTTACAGTTACTGTTACTACATGGGCTATTCTTGAATTTGAGGATTATTATCCATTGTGGAGAAAGGGGAAGTTTTGAGAAAATTCAGACAGCCTTTTTGGTCAGAATTTTAAAGACGGATAGTGTTTAAATGTATAACCTACACGAATATTACATGAATAAAATATGACAGTGTTTAGGTTAAATTGATATTTCTTTCTCATGACAGCATGATTTGGAAATATATTAAATATAAATACACTAATTAACGCTGTTTTTGGGGATCATTTCTCCATGTTTCAGTATATTTTTTCATTGGATAATTTGTTTAAATTCAAAGGAGGAAACAAACAGCTTGGGGAATACTATCCATTTCTGGTAGTAAATTTTGTCTGGACTAATCCTTGTACTAGTATAAAAGTTGGAATAAGTAGTCCTGCACTTCCCTAACAACAATGATTCACATTGTGGTTGAGTCATTCATACATATACTTGCTCTATGTTTTGTGTACATGTGTTGATAAAAGAATAAGAAAATAGTGAAAGTTGTTATCTTTTGTAGGCAGCATTGCTTATTTTTGAACTGGCCTGGAAAATGTCCAAAGATACAAATGATCTTTTATGGTAAGTAAAGGATGTATAATATATTTAATGTAGGATTGTTAATGTCGTGACAAACAGATACAAAATACTGTCAGTCTAATAGTAAAACATTGAGGGCACGGTGACAGTTTTTCATGACAGAACTTGCAAATGAAATGTTCTTGGGGTGTAGAGGGTGATATTGAAAATTTTAAAAGTTGGGAGTATCAAGGATGTACAAAATGTAGTGACTGTAACCCCTGGAGTATTGAGGATTGAAATATGTCATTTAATAAGGTAACAATATTTGTGGTACACCTAGTGTGAATGTCACATTTTGGTCACTATAAAAATTTCTTTTTGACCGTTGATACATTATGTTGTGAGGTGCTTACTGTAGGAGTGAATTGTGCTATTGTTGTGATTATAGGAGATATGCCTTAGTGATTTGGCTCCTGTCACACCACTTATTATAGTGCGCATTCGGTCAAGCTGTTAAATTAACATCACTATTGTCTGATCATACACTACACATGTCATTCACAGCAAATTGTAGGCTTGCTCTGTTTGCTCTGTGTATTTATGCATTTCCATTATGACAACACTATGCAGTGACATCTCATAGTAAAAAGGTACGTAATAGAAAATGAATGCTTGTTTGTAGGTTGTCTATCCTGGGAGTAACTGACCAGTACGTCCATTATAAGACACCGAGGGACAAGTACATTGATGATGTCATGGCTTTACAGTCCCACGTGTCTCGACACAACCACAGGTGACTAGTTCTTCACCAACTGTTTATTGAATTTCATTTACAGAATATTTTTATTAGCTCTGTTCACCTGAATCTAAGTAAATATTTCAATAATGTGACACTTTTCCTTAAAAACTATCAGTTCTGTTTGTCTTACAGCAATGTTCAACAAGTTTCATCAACCTAAATAAATCACTCTTGTTTGCCAGAATGAAATGTGTTAGATATGACCTTTTCACACCAGGTCAGAGAATTCCTTTATACTTCATTTTTAAGAGTTTTAATGATTTCCACTTTCTTGGCTTTATGGATGTCAAATTATCCGGAGTACCTTGCGCCAGAGTGCACATTAATGACCAAATTTTACTTGCCAGAGATGACGACGACAACATTCTCTCTGTAAACTGTCTGAAGATCTCATTTGATGAAGAGCTCCAGCTGCCTTTGTATCGACACTGGTCACTTTTTGAGAGCATCAGTCACTCTACCAACATGGCCTGCAAGTTCAAAGTCTGGACCCTGAAAGGACAGAAACGACTGCATGAATTCTTAGCAGAAATGGGGTAATTTTGTGGATAATGGCTAGTTGCTCTGTGTGCATAATCTGTTGTAATCTCTCATCAGCACTACCACTTAATATTCACTCTGTCAGGTCTCGCCCATTTGCCAATTTTTAATCCAACGTCAGTATATATATATATCTATTATCTTTGAAATCATGAATTATGTTCCTATATATGAGGTTATATCTGTTATGTTTTGTAGCAATCATATCTCGAATAGAGGAACTGTGATGTTAGCCTTGTTCACATAAATATTTTTGTCCCAAAAGTTATGTACTTCTGTATCTAAATAATGAAATACTTAGATGATGATATTTAAGGTAAACAGTGACCTATTAACCCTTCTTATTCTTTACCAATTTGACAATTACAACATGGGATATTGCATTAGGATATTAGGATCTAGATATCGCTGCTAAATTTTCCAGAAATTTTCTTTCTTGATTGCCAAATAAAGGAAAATTTCAAGGGTTTGCATGAATAGCATTTCTGTCTGATATTCTAGATATCAATTTTGTTTCCTAGTAATAACGTACATAATATGCAGTAATTAACACATTTCAGGATGCCTCTTACGCAGTGTAAACAGAAGTTTGCTGCAATGGACTCCAGTATGAGAAACAATGTGAAAACTCTAATCCAGGACCATATGGCTAAATACGGGTAACTATAACTGATTTACTGGTAACCAAAAGTCTTCAAATATTGCAAATCTGTTTTTAATATGCACATTGATACAAAAAGGGCAATAAAGCCAAAAAAAATGGCCTGAGAAACTAAGAATTAATTTTATTTGGCCTAAGTTATGAAATTGGCTTAGAGATTAAGATTTTGAAACTTTACTGTAAACATTTTGTTGTTTGCTGCCAAACTGATTAGACAGCCATAGATATTGGGACTATTTACCAGATATGTTAAAGTAGGTGTTTTTGTTTGATTCTTCTGATTATAAATAGAACTGCTACAGTTTTAAGCTTCCTTTGTATCTGTCAGGTTGGTTCCTCAGGATGTTGTGTTTCCCTCGTTCTTTGCTCAATATGGATACAAGAACAAGCTCTGTGCTACAGACGTGGTCTTTGGATGTGTAGCAACACTAGAGTCCATAGTAAGTACAGTCTGGGATGTGTTCCAAACTTATTAATCAGAATCGAGGGCACAAAATTGCCCCTCTTTGCTCCATGTACACCTTCCTTTTAGGGACCAGGATTCAATATCTATTTGAGTAAACTATTTGCAACTTAAACTAATTCGTGCTTTTCTGCTGGTAGGATAACTCACAAAATACTTTTTTTTTTGTCTATTCAACTACATATTTAATGGATACAATTCAGATCAAATCCCCACCCCCCACCCCACTCCCCACCCGAAATCTCTGACAAATCACTTGTACATTTGAGTGATGTTTACTATTCATTAAAGTAATAGCCTTTGATAAGCAACTTCTAAACTTCAAAAACAGGGAGTATTGTATACAAGTCTAGCACTAAACCTAGATTTCAGGAAAGTCATCACCGCATGAGTGGTATTTTGAGATTCTGAATTTTGTGAAACATATTTATGTCAGAATTTAATGGTCAAAGGTCAGCAATATTTTAAAGGACATACTGATTCACTATTATTTATGAACTGATTGTGAGTTGGAGAAAAATGTATCTTTTATTTTAATGCTAATATGTCTTTACAATTACTATTTTATTCAGGAAAAAGGAAAGAGTCCCACAGACCACTTTCTCAATGCTCTGGATGTTTTACAGAGGTAAGAAACATGCAGTTGTGTAATGTAATTCTACAGGTTACATATATCTATCTGAAATATTTTGTTTTACCTGGAAATGTGTGAGAGTATAGAGATATTTGTGAGATGTAATTAATCTTGATGTATTAGATACTTAACTTAGAACTGTAAATACTGAAATATAGATTCTTGATCACCATACCCTGTAGTGTAAATGTAATTAATATTGGTCAAAGAGAGTATTAAATGGAATGGATATTAAGGAGTGTAATCATAGACTTTACCTATTGCCACATTCCTTCTGTATACTGTAAACATTCTTATTTTAGTAATTTTTGTGTTGAAAACACTGAAATATGATTGTGCTAATTGGATGTTCTGTATGTTGTTATCATGCTAATATGACAAAAAGTGATGGTGTGCTAAAATTTGATTACACCAAATTTAGTATATTCAAAATATTTAACATCTATACAATAGATTGTTCTGAGTTTGAAGACAGATGGGTATTGCTACCTTTTTTAATATTGGTGATACAATACAGAAATAATTTATCAAATACTGATTTTTTTTGGCCACCTCTGGGTCATGAGTTTGGGGTCTGTGTGGGGCATTCGCCATGTACTGGCTGTTAATAGGATGTAAAGCAACAATAAACCAAACATTGTTATGGCATTGAAACATGTTTAGGTTGTTCTTTGGTTTTAGCTGATTTCAGTTTGAATGCTTGCTTATGTAATATGATTATATTTAAGGGGGAATGTGACTGCCTTGGAGAAGTCTCTTGTCTGTGCCAAAACACAATTACAGGCCCTTGTCACACAGGTCCGCACCTTCCTTGACATGCACCAGGTGATCTCCGCTGGACCTTTTCTCTATGCCTTCATACAGGAGGTATGTTTCTTACTTCTCTCTAGATCAACACATGGCATCAAATAATGAAATGTTCTTGACTGATTAAGGTCTATTCCAGATATGCATGTGTATAGGACTAACGTTAGACAGGATTTTCAACATTTCAAAAGCTTCAATCCATTTCACCAGTTCTATTAAGAATTTGACATAAATACATTATTTAAAAAAAAACTAAAATAGTGCTGCTCTGTATTTTTTAGTTATGACTGCTTACATGATGATTATAATACCGATATTCGTGTTAATACATCTGCTGAGCGACCATCATGTTTTTCTACCATTATTTGATATACCGATCTTGTTAAATTTACTTTCTTTAAAAATTCCCTGCCCTCATCCCTAGTTTTCTACATATAATTAGCAAACACTCTCCAAAACGCCCAGGTGAAATGTAAACTCCAAAAGCAGGTATAGATACGGTACATGATTTTATAGTATATTAACATTGTAGATCCCGTCTCCCACAATTGTTATTACTTTATCAGCAACTTCATGCCTTATAAAACTTTCTGTCCTAAATTTCATTTCTAAAAATCAATACAAACTGCAGTATTTTCACAAATTAAAAAATCGTCATACCAGTGAAATGATTTTGTATTTATTGTCATGTACTGTCATATTCACTAAGAATATTCATAACTCTAATCAAGTCCTGACATAATAATTTTCTGATTATGTCCCTAGTTGTCATTATTCACAATGTACTGATATTCTTTGTGTACACATCCATACTTTTATATAATCATTAGTTTATATTTGCTTGTAATTGAACTGTAGGGTACAGCAGATGTGAAGTATTTCTCCACCCCCCAATGTTTAATGAGACTGGCCAGATTTACACAGGAGGCACACTGTTCTGTTGTAAGTATCACTAATCAGTCTCTCTGCAGCTCTAACATCAGTTTCATTCATTCTTAGATTCACTTGAAAATTTGTTGTTACCAATTTCTGCTAAAGTCATTTATTTGCTTAAGAAGAAAGTTAGGTTTTAGAAGTAACTTGAACTGAAAGTAAAAGTGTTTTATTGCATAGATTGAACATAGATATCAGATACATCTGACCAATAAGAATTTGTGCTACTTGGAAATTGCGTGTTTGCATAATGTAAAATTGATATTAAATGGATTATGGGATGAAAGAATGCACACAATTAGATATATACTGCAGCAGTATCAGCTTTACAACTCTTTGTATCACTAGAGAGATAAGATATCTTGATCAAGAGTTTTAAGTACATACAACTCATCATGTATAAACATGTTTGTCAGAGTCGTAACAAGCGAGCCCGGTCGATGCCGCTGGTATTGGGAGCACCGTTAGACAGTGAGCAGGGCACGACTCTGGTGATAGGGATCCCACCCTTACAGCTTGACGACGAGAGGAAGAAGTAAGTATCACACTCATACAGCTTGACGACGAGAGGAAGAAGTAAGTATCGCACTGATACAGCTTGACGACGAGAGGAAGAAGTAAGTATCGCACTGATACAGCTTGACGACGAGAGGAAGAAGTAAGTATCGCACTGATACAGCTTGACGACGAGAGGAAGGAGTAAGTATCGCACTGATACAGCTTGACGACGAGAGGAAGGAGTAAGTATCGCACTGATACAGCTTGACAACGAGAGGAAGAAGTAAGTATCGCACTGATACAGCTTGACAACGAGAGGAAGAAGTAAGTATTGCACTCATACAGCTTGACAACGAGAGGAAGAAGTAAGTATTGCACTCATACAGCTTGACGACGAGAGGAAGAAGTAAGTATCGCACTGATATAGCTTGACGACGAGAGGAAGAAGTAAGTATCGCACTGATACAGCTTGACGACGAGAGGAAGAAGTAAGTATCGCACTGATACAGCTTGACGACGAGAGGAAGGAGTAAGTATCGCACTGATACAGCTTGACGACGAGAGGAAGAAGTAAGTATCGCACTGATACAGCTTGACGACGAGAGGAAGAAGTAAGTATCGCACTGATACAGCTTGACGACGAGAGGAAGAAGTGTTTATACCTTACACTGATTAAAATCTGAGTGAATAAGTAAGCATACCATGTTTGTGATGAGAAACTGAAATTTCTTGGGAATTTCATTGGTCTTAAGCATCGAGTGTAACTCCATGGAATATCATAAATTCATTGTTATAAAGCATTCCTTTGGTTGTCATATTATAGATGTTAATAATAAAATGTTTCGTTTGTAGTTTTTTTGGAAAAGCATTTGAACAAGCAGCTGTAGGATCCAATGCTCGCACTTTACTGGACAGCTTTGACACTTTTGGTGAGTATCTGATTAAATATGGAAATATTATAATTCTATATTGAATATAAGCTTCAAACTGAAACCAAGTATCAAAATGTTTGTTGTCTTATCATGTAGAAAGAGTGGAAATAAGACCAAGGAAATACATTATTACTGGTGCCCTCATCAGCATTATCAAAGTGCTTTTATATTTCTCATAAAATTATGTCTATGAGATTGACCTGGTACCACATTCAACTTTAAATTAGACCTAGTTTTTGCCATATGAACCATGGCAAACATTGATAATTGTAATATTATTGCACATGAAATTTTGATAGATTTTGAAAATTTGCTCTTACTCTTTTCAAATTGCTTTCTTGGTTTGAAAACCGTTTAAATGACACATTAGACATGCAAAGCAGGTTTTGACTGACATACAAACAGTATTTTGATGACTTTTAATGACTTTTGGATAGTTATTTTTAGGGCATCTACTTTGAGATTTTTTTTAATGAATAATGATATGTATTTACCATGTAAATAAATGTTAATCTGTTGCAGTGGTGGAAATGAAGACAGAAGATAAAAGCAAGTTCTTTGATGCCCTGATAAGTTTGCTGCAGTGATTTTTCTTACTAAGGAATAGCAGTGGGTTGTCAGCATTGAACATGGAACTAGTCTGAACTTATATTAACTGTGATGACTGATTGAAAGTGCATGTACAGTGAATGAAGACCAGTGAAACTCTGGTCATGACATTTCTAAAATTGATTGTGCTCAGATTTCCTCTTTCTTATTGATGTTTCTTTGTTAAAAACTGTAAATACACCTGTATTTAATAGGAAACTTAATATCAGTGAATTTATCTGGAAAGTGGCCTCAGGATTGAGCATGATGGCTGTCTCTGTGTTATCTAATGAGTGTATTATTTCAATCCTTGAGAATTATTGTACAACTTTGTGGCACTGAACAATTATACTTTAAAAAGAATGATACTTTCTTTCTTAAAGATTGTGCGCTGATGTAAAAGTAGGATGACTTCTGGTCCCAGGATCATAAAATGATAAACAGAAGTCGAGAATTGTCTCCTTTGACTTCGAGAGTTGCAGCCAATCACATGTGATGTTGTCCATGATTGGCTTAGCCTATCTCATGATCCATGAGTCTGGAAATATAAGTGTAATTGTCAGAACAGCCAGGGTTTGTACAATTTAGGAGAGTTTTATCATGCTTTACTTACCTTTCCCATTGATAAAGGATCTGTCTCATACCAGCTTAACATCTTGGGAAAGACTTCCATCATTATTGTTTCAATCTGATGATGCCCTGATCATCATTTTGATTCCTGTTCCTTCTTTCTAAGGTAAATGAGAAGATGCAAGTCTGACACGAAGCTATTATTTGGTTAGACCCAACATTTTTTTCCAGAGTTGAAGCCCCTGAATGTATAAAATTTAAAGATGTTGTTTTTTGATTGATTTTTCGATCTGACAGATGGATACATTAAACTTATTTTTGATGTGTAGATGTATTATGAAAAGATGCAGGTCAGTTCCTTTTTCATTCTACTTATTTGTTTTTTCAAATTTCTGGCTGTTTTTTAAAAAAAAAATTCATGAAACTCAGTTTACAGTCATTTTCTTTGTGCTGGATTGGGACATTGAACTTAAATCTGAAACTCAGTTTACGATCATGTTTTGGTGCTGGAATGGGACATTGAATTTAACTTTGATCTATAGGTGTATTGTCTACAATAAGTTTGTTCTGATTGATAAAAATAGGACAAATCTTTTGTTAATTGGCTTTAATGTCTGAAGAGCAAGTTTCCATTTTGTCATTGTGTATAGATTTGTAAATTAGAGTTATGTGATTTGATGTGATTTTGTAAAATGTTTATAAATTATGTTATTTTTATAGATTAGCAGCTGTCTTTCCTCTCTTCCTGTTTACCTTTCCTTTGTTTTACTTCTCTAATTTTTCTGTAACAAAGATAAAAATGCCTATGGTATTGATACACTAACAGTGAAGAAGAAATCTATTTACCTAGATACAAAAAAAGCTAAATGTTTATACTTAAATCTTCCTATATTTATACATGTACATTATGTAAATAGTTTTAATTGTAAGAATGAAATTCAAAGAAATTGTCAACTTATTTTATGAAAGGAGCAGATAAAGTTAACTAAGATTATACATAGAAAGTTTTGTGTTATATCATGTAACCTGTACATTGTCATCCCATTTAAGTGCTATATTGAAAACATCTTTTGCTGTTCAAAATGGCTTGAGTGTACAGTGGATATTTAAAGTTTTCAATTTGTCGTTTAAGTCGGTAAAGTATTGTAAATCATGTAAAGTTTTATTTATTTCTGAGTCTGAAAATGTTATTGACTTCATCATCACATTATTTGAGAAGGAACAATTTTATGTACTGGTATAAACTATTTAGAATTTACTTACAATTAAATGACAGGTAAAATTATTAAACTTTGCTATGTCAAATGAAAATAAAGAAAACTTGTACAAATCCTTGTCTTTTTGGTGTGTACAGAATGAAATAACTAAAGCATTTATCAGCTGGGATTAAAAATTGTCAAAGTGATCACTCATGAAGTTGTTCGTCCATCAACAATTTGTGTGCTTTTTATGATTGCTTTTTGTCTGTGGTCCATCTGTCCATCCTCTAATCACCCCCTTTTTACCACTATATATTCATTTCTCTAATACTACCATGGGAATGTTTTGTTACTTGGAGACGTGTGCAATGCTGGTCTGTTGTTTATGCTACATTTTAAGGTTGTATATGCCATATTTCAAGATTGATGAATTATTCAAGATGGCTACCAGTGACTTTACAATAAAAGTTCTTCACGCAACCAGTAGTTTTTTCTAGTTTAGTCAACACTATTTTCTACCTCGGTGTACATAGAATTATAGTACATTTGAAAATGTCCTTTGATTCCTTACCATCATACACACTTGACATTGTCTGATGAAGGCGACTGTGTAATCATCAGAACGTCACACTTCTTCTACTTATTGTTTTATAGAAACTAATTTTATTTACATTGCCAACCTAATGAAAACATTGGATAATACCAGTGACCTTTGTGAAATTTTGACCTCTGCCACTGTTTCCCAGGATTGGCAGATAGGATTTTCTTGAATTTTATAGACATTTTCAGTATGTATGCCATATTTTGATGTTGATCAGTTACATTCACAAGATGTCAAAAAGTGAGCATATAAGAGTTTGACCCCTGCAGTTTGTAGCTGATATTTTTATATGACCAGACAAATATTTTACATTTACTTTAAGTAACTGTGGTATATGATCATGAGGGCAGCTTTAGTTCATATTTCCACCATAGTATCATTACATAAAATTCTACACAATTAGATTTTGATGGTTTATGGTCATAAGGGTCAAAGATAACTCTTGACCACTTTTGAAATAAAAAATATCAAAGGATGAGGGTATAATGTATATCTATGTGAGCCTTGCTCACTTTGTTTTAAAGTTTTGAATAAGTAGTACCGGGTATATAATTTTTCATATTAATATAGATACTTATAGACTACACTATATTGTGTGAAATACCAGATCAGAACCAGTTGATGGATTGTATAATTTTATTTCTTATATTACAGTAACATTGTATTTACAATAAACAATTATTTTTTTTGTAAATAAAATTTAAAGAAATACCTTATAATACAGGTATTTCAAAAATGTATGTACAGAAATATACCCAAATTTAAGGCCAATTATTTCAATGACATATCCATCACATCTAAAACAAAGGTTACCTTTAGATAGGTTAATACGTTTTCTCATGATATCCATTACGACATAAGTTGGGCTTAAATCTGTACATGTTTCAACTCGCATTGATTCATAATTCCTGGCATTCCTAAGAATGAACAAAACTTTAGGTGTTTACATCTGAAATGTTAAATTTGTTTGATGAGCAAAATGATTTGGAATTAAATGATCAAGAACATTAAACCAAACTTTTGATATTTAAATCTAAAATAGAATCCTGGAGCAGCTAGTGCTGAATGAAAGCTGGGGGGTGTAAAATTTATCCATTGGTGTACATTTCCACTATTGCATAAAACTTTTTCTTTAAGGTTTTACAAATGTCACCATATCACATTTTAAATATTTTTCCACCTGCTACACAATTTGGTTTGAACTTTCTGTACATCTGTCAGTCATTTTATCCCATTATTTATTAAGACTTTTGAGTTCTTCTTCTTTTTAGAAGTTTTGGATGTTGATGCTCTTCCTCATGCCCATACACTCCACCTCGTCAATAAACAGTGTGTTGGACTTGACACTAATATCCTCTTCCAATGACAGCTGATTGCGAATAAGTCCTTTGAGAGAGTCTTCAGTTTGGCGAAGGCGTTCCTGTAGTTGAGCGACAGAGCTCTCAATTTCTCCGACTTCCTCAATGAGCCTATACTGTACTGGGTCCCGACACAGTTCCACATTAGGACGGTTTGTCCTTGTGTCCAGTCGGGTTTGGGCCAGCTGCATGGGCTGGGACTTATCCTGGATAGATTTTTGCAGTCGTGAGATGTTCTCCTCAATCTCATTAATTTGAGCGAGCACCTGTGACATAAAATATGCTGCATGTAGTGGTTATAAGTAATTTCCTGATAGTAGAAAAAGCTGACATCATTGCTTTCATATTGTAAAATCATACAATTTAGGTTTTACTTTGATACTTTAAATTCACAATTTATATACATTTCCATGAACAGATAAACAGTTACAAAATTTTTGGTTGTCTCAAAAAAAACTTTACCAGTAAAAAGAGGGGGCCTTTGATAAAGGGATTCAAATAAAGTAGATTTTGTGGGGTACTGTTTATATGTCTACAAAATAAAGAATCCATGGAGTGTGTTTTCTGGGAGGAAAGTGAAACTTAATTGTAACAGAATATTTCAATGTAATACCTGGTAATAAATGACAATTTTGTAAACACATTTTATTGTTAGTGGACAATATGAATCATTGAAAACATCACATAAACACATACTACATAGTTAAAAATGTCCGTGGACAGTTTTATTGTGTTTAATTCATGGTCATTCTGTGAAATCTAAATTCCTGGGAACCAATGTGCAAACTTTAATCTACATGAACCATGCCAAACCAGTACAACCATGAAATTCAGTATACTGGATACTGTAAGCATACATATTTTAGAGTTATCTTATCTTAGCATTTTTTGTACTTAAAATATTGTGCTAAAATATGACTGCATTAATTTCAGTTTCTATACATAGTTAATCTAACAATCATTGTTGATTTACAAATTTATCATTGCACTTAAATGTTAAGAATTGATATTGTGGTAAAATTTGATTGTGTCAAAATAAATAAACTTACAGTATACATTTAACGGTTTATTTTGAAAAAAAAAGGTTCATGAAATTGCGATCAGTATATACAATTAACTCTGGGATACTTACATGGTTGAGATGGTCCTCAAGTTTGTTCTTGGCATCTTTGGTCTCGCAGATACGCTTGTCGAAGGCCAGATTGACATCAGCACACTGTTTGCGCATGTCATTGGATGTTTGTTGGAGAATTCCATCGATGAGTGATCGAAGATCTACCGAGCTTTGACGTTCACGTTCTGCTTTCAGAATGTTATCATTGGAGAAGTCTCGCCAATCCTCAGGGCACACAGAACTGCAAATACATGTGACATGTGACTCAACCAGATTGCAAATCAAGCCAGTTTGAAAATTGCCCTCAAGCACATGTCCCTTTAGGAGGGATGCTTAATCTTTAGAATGATATTAAAGAATCTTAGCAGGTTTTTACTTTGATTAGAAAGTTTTACTAAAGAATCACTTTAAGGAGATATAAATATGTAAGGATCATTGCACCATCCTGGAGGGCATATATATCAAGAATATTTTTGAGGATTGCAGTTTAATGGTATATTTATTTATATTCTGTATGAATATAGTGTATTGGTGACAAACTACTGGAACATGCAAATTCAATGTTTATGTCTGTTTACTACAGCATGAGCACCCTAAACGAATACTTCCAGGTACACAGGCTTACGGTTAATATAGCACACTGACGAATCAAGACATTTGACTGTCATACTATATAAATCTTGTCTTCTAATATATTTTATTATCGCTAAAGTGAAGGTTTGACTCACTTGGCTTCAATCTTGGCAGCTCCGGCCTTGAATCCAAGTCCAGCGGAGTTGTTCCTGAGGTTGCCACAATACTCATCTATAGAGACAGCTGAGAACTTGTCCTTCAAATCCTTCTCCAGTTGGTACTTAGCTTTACGGTTCAGTCTAAAAACAAAACCATCACACCCTCCATTTATATATGGATATCCTACCGATTTGTTAAATGTGAGGCAAAATTTATTTCCAGGATTTAACACTGCCACACATCATGCATGAAATATAACTGCAGATTATGATTCAGTAGTGTGGAATACCCTGAATATATCACACCTGGCTTACTAAAATACTTCAGGCATGACATTTTTAAACTCGAGTTTAAAAGAAATATGGGAAAATCATACTGATAATTGGAAAATTTGTGTCATATTTCGATACTCAGTTACTACTGCCACTCCACAAATTTACCTGCAGCAAGTGTTAAAAAATTGCCGTACAGTTGCTATGAGCAGAATTTAATACCTGCTGACTGTGAATGTTTACCTGATCTGTTCGGTGGCCTGTTCGAGGGTTCTTTGCAGTAGGGCCTGCACTCCTTCAATTGATTCCACCTCCTTCATCAACTGCTTTTGTACGTCATCATGGACTAGATCAATAGACACCCTTTTCTCTCTACAAATCAAATGCATAAAAAATTTGATAAATAAATGACAATCATTGGTGTTCTATTTTCAGTATGATATACCATATAATCTTAAAAGTAAAACAGAAAAGAAATATAGATATATATATGTTATTATTTTTTGAAAGTTGAGAAATTCCTAATTTTCTAATAAATAGGCATGTTATGATGATAATACATAAGGAATATTCTCAATGATTAAACATTACACACACTACCATTTGCTTAAAATCTCACAGACATTAGAAGATTTAAATATCAAGTTAAGAAATGTACTACATTTAACAGTTATCATGTACAGACATGGCTTCGTTTTTGGCAACTGTTGGTGTACTCAATAAACTTACCTATTTCCCAGACACTGACGAGCAATATGTAATGGTTCAGCTGTGGCCTCTAAAGCTTTCTCTACTCTTGTCTTGAATGCCAATAAGTTATCTATCTCTGTTGTTATCGCATTTAATTTATCATCTAGTTCCTGCTTCCAGTATTTGATATCCTCCAATCTTTGTTCTGAAAATAACATAAAAAAAGGTTGAATTTGTGATTCTATTGATGATTATCTCAAAAAACACCTTAGAAATATTCTGTTAAAAAAATGTGTGTGTGGGCAACAACCACTTAAAAGAGCATAAGTACATATCACGATTTGAAGCCAACTAAACAACTCTTTTGAAAATCTTACAATCAGACTGGAATTTCTAGATAGCACAACACATGTCATGATAATTTTCAGTTTTAAAGAAATCTGTCAAAAACGAAGGATTCCTGAGGGGAAAAGTTCATTTGCAGATAAAGTTGAATCCTTACCAAAATATCATTTACCCCTCAATATAAGCCCTTCTTTTTTTAAAAGCTTTTGCAACATTATGAAAATTTTATTACCAAATTTTTTGTTGACATCTCTCTGTGTTTTCTCTGTCCTCTTCTCAGTTTCATCTGACAGGCGTTTGGATTCTTCCACTAGTCTCTCTGCAGCTGCTCTCTCACCCTCAGCATTGGCATACTTTGTGAGGTTAGAAGTTGTCCATTCAGGGTGGGTAAAACGAGGAGGGGGCTGTACAAGCTTCGCCATCACTCTATATAAAAACAAATATCATGGTTCAAATATTTGATTTTTCAAAATGGTGTCGATTAGGTTGAAACATAGGTACAGAACACATATTGATGGTTATAATGCTTAAATATTGCAGAGGTATAGTACATAGAATGCTTGTTAGCCAAAGATTGATAATGACATATGATAAATTATTCTGACGGATTTTGTGTTTTTAATGTTATCTGAGAACAGATAGTCAGAACCCTTAAGAGGTAAGAAACCTGAATGGTGTTTCAAGTGTTGCCAAAATTTCATGCGGCATTTCCCCATGGAAACTAGAGTTGAAACATCGATTTTTTTCAATCACTCCAAAAATATTTCTAAAACTGAGACTAAGTTTCTCAATACATGTACGTTAACAACCAGTTTTATTGGACATGTGTGCTAAACACCAATGTATTTTAGGATTTTATGTCATTAAGGGATAATAATGCTTGTGGGTAAAAGACATTTATACAGTACATGCATTACTGAACCATTACAATAAATGATTAGATAAAACGCAACTTGATCAGTTCAAGCTTTTCACATCTCGTATGTTTCGCATTTGTTGAAAAAAATATATGGCAGAGTCGATCAAATTAATTGTATAACAGGAAAAATGACAACATCAAATTGCATTTTTTGTGCCACACTTCAATTAGGGTCATCAGTTTTATCCGTAGTAAGGCTACTGTTGAGTGTTCGATTACAATTTACAACACATCAAATTATTTGATTTTGTTATCATTGTTGACAACAGCTACATAAATATTTGGCCTAACCTTTTTTCACAAATTCAAAGATTTTCTCAGCTTTATGTCAATGAATTATTTATTATGAATGATTCCTGTTTCTGATAACTAATAAATTCTCTCGAAATTATGATATTTTCTCTATGAGTGTTTATATTTTACCTGGTTGCTCTGTTTCCACAGGTGAAGTTGTGAAGGCTGGATGATGGACGCTTACCTAGCAACACATGTTGCTACAGCAAATGGTCTCGCGGGATTTTGCGATATTCTCAAACCGGAAGTAAGGCGTTTTTACATGTGAATTTTCATTGGTTGAAAAACAGTTCAACCTTTGACCTTTACTATGAGTTGACGTTGCATGCTGTTTTGTGAACATTCGATTCATAGACGTGTTTACGGGAGGAATGAAGTGAAGTGAAACCACATGTCAAAACATGGATAAGGACAAGAGTAGCGCTGTCCCCAGTGCATTGATACCACCACAGCCGAAAAGTGGTTGGCAGAAAATTTGCAAAGGAATAGTCGCAGGTGAGTGCAGCATGATGATGTGAAAGTTGCATCCGATAGGAAACTTGATGATGAAATGTTTGACAATCATGACCTACTTCTGAGCGTTATCTCGTTAGGTTACTGGTCCTAAATAGATAGTAGATACGTAGGACTTTGCCACCCATGTCCTCTTATAAAGTAGACTTTACATCTCGGCATGAGTAAAATATAGAATTGTAAATTCATTTTCTATATTTAGATTGCATTACTCTTATTTACAGACATGCTGATTCACTGCATCCTGTGTATGCGCTAAATATAATACATCATTCATCAGGCGATATATGGTGTGATTTGTATGAGGCAAACATAAACAACTATTCTTTGATGATAGTTTCATGAGGGGAAAAACTGCAACTGCAATTATAGCATTATGTTATGTATACAAGGACGTGCGTATATATACCAGACACCCAGTCTCTTGTCTATTTATCCATATAGAAGCTAACCAGCATAGCAAAATGAAATGTGACTTGCATGTCTGAGAAAGGCATGAAATGAAATAAATCTGAAACTTACTGCCTTTTACATAGAAAATGAAAGAATAATATTTTATGGTTTGAAAGCCCAATATTTAATTAGCAAATTAAATTTTTTAATTAGCAAATTAAATTTTTAAATTTTTCAATGCAAAGATTAGACTCATATTTTTAAATTCATAGAAATCAATATTGTAGAAGAAGTTGTACATATTCATTAACTTTTCTTTTTATCCATGACATCAGAGTCATCTTTTAACATCTCAAACACAAGGTAAAATATGAACCGTTGACCTGAATTTGTTCTGCTATTTTATTGTAGTTCGAGATTTGGACTGTTATATAGGTTTAGTACATATTCAAGTCCCACTTCCTATCATTCAACATTGGAGACAAGGTCACACAATTGCTTTTAACTAAAACTAGAGAAATAAAGACCCAGAGCTGACCCACAAAGCTTATCATCACATTGTCAGATTAGCATGTGTTCATGGTGTAGTAGGGATAGTGTTAAGGTCACATTCATTTGTTTAAATCCAAGGCTATCTGGACTCAAACACAATAAAGATGAACGCATGTTAATAGATTTTCGCATAGTTTCTCTGATATTTATGATCAAGTAGGCCTTCCCAGCAGTCAAGGACCCTGACACAGCAATTAGAAATATTTGTATTGATACACATGATATTTGTATAAATACACCATCCTAGATCTGTCTATATCATAAATAAGGATGGGGTGTTTACTTGTTTGTACTGTCTGAGTGCAGTATAATTATAAGAATCTTCAGTATTAGAAACAAGGGATGAGACAATTTCATATCCCTTCCAGCACAGTATAAGTTTTCAGTAGGAAACTGTACTGTCATAGCTTATGTATCCTCCTACCATTAATTAGCATTATCAGTTGGAAATGGACATTCACTTTAAAAGGATCTAGATCAAAACACCCTTCAGTTAATGGTAGTGAATGCAGCTAACTGCATTAAGCAGCATTACATGTAGGAAGGTGAAAATAACAACACAATCATTGTTGAGGCTGAGATCAGTTTAGATCAACTAATTTACAGTTCGCTCAACCCTGTGTCAAGTTTTCACCTTCACTACAAGTGAATCTCCCTGTCAACTGTGAATGAAAGTTTTTTTCACTTGTACTCCAAACGGAGTTGTTTTAGGGATAAAAATAATTAATTGAATGAGTATAGGCATGAGAGGTCTGTTTCATCATGTATATAGACAGAATTAAAAACTCAGTCTGAAAGGCTTGTCCTCTTCTGTTTATAACAACACCTACCAGGAAGAGAATTTCCTAACAAATATCAAAGCCAACACAACATTTTGTACAGTCATTGCACACATTGTAATTACTACTATAAATATACACCTCACATTGTCAACAGGGCTCAGGTTACAGGATATTCCTTATAAAAGTTTATTTACTTGGAATATATGTATTAGTGGAACTGGAACTTCTTAGTCAACAAAATTTAAACATAAGGATAGGATGGCAAACAGAAAATTGAAGCCTTTCCTAGTTTGATATGAATGTATATTGGGTCTTGACTACAGTAAGAGTGGTCTTATATATCTTCATGTCCACCTTTGTTGAAACGTGTTAACATTTATAACATGAACAACATTTCTGAATGATTAAAGAAAAAAGAAAAAAAACTGAGACACATTTGTTTGAACCTGAAGAGAGATATTGTAAATTATGTGTCCTGACAATACAAACATGTCAGATTTCACTTAAAAATTTCTGTAGCATTACTCAGTGTTTTGGTAATTCAACAAATATATTACCTGTATGCTGAATATTGTCAATTCATATTTTGACGAGAAAAGGTTTTTGTAGTATATATAAAAATAACTGTACCAAAATAGCAACAATAGTATATCATAATTTGTCTCAACATGCTGAAAGTCGAATTAAGTTACATGCTTATCAAAACAACAGATTGGAAAATGATGATCTCGTAACGCCTTGTTAAGCCTAGTTTTGATGACCTTAGGTTATTGTATTAACAGAGCTTTGTGTTCTGTTAGGAAGAATGATGACAATGTCATGCAAACCTCACATTAAGCACCTTGTTGAGATGCAGTCATAATGCATTTCCTTTCATATACATGTTTATCTACATTGTATATAATGAAACACACATACATGACAGGTTAATGTCTTGTCTGTATGGATCAGATGTAGGAAAATATCCAATCAGCAGATTTTTTTTTGTTTTCTAATGAACATAATTAATTCACTTTTAAAGTTTAACATTTTCATATGTAAATTGTTGGCGTTGATGTGTGTAAGTTCATCTCAATAACAATATAGCTTCATGAAAGATGGTAATTTATTGAGGTTTGGTGTATTCTTTGAGATGTCAGAATCCCTTGGTAGATTTATTGTCTCATGACTTCGTGTTTCTATTTATGTATCCATCCTAGTTTTATTTGTATTAAAAAATCAGTATGTACGCTTCAAATTAAATTAAAAATTTTATTTTATGAATATTAAGGTATACTCGTGAAATTATATCTGTACTATATATGTCTTGCCATGCACAGCTTTGAGAAGCATTCTCAATATTCAATCATCAGACATTTTCGGATGCAGATTGATAGGTCTGTGGTGGTAGCTATTGATTTGAGAGGTGCCTTTGGTGGTAGTCTGTATCTAGACTTGGCGACATAAATGATAGGTTTGTCTCCCACGTTTAGGTAGACTCCCACAAATACATATATAGTACATTCTATATGTATAGTTCTCTCTCAAGCCTGTCTAAATGGCTTTGTTATCGATAAAAATTGGTTTCAAAAAGAAGAGATGTCTTCCTTAACAACATAGCCTGTTAGTATTGATTTAATTCCATTATGACAGCAACATTTGGCATTACATGTTGTTTTCTTTTAATGGAGATTTTTTTGTTACTCCTTGAAACGGTTATTCAGATTTGATAAATGGACATTAGGTTGACCCATTAGTTACACATTCTCTTACCATTATGAGATGCCATATTTGGTATAGAGTTTATCATATGATTTGGGTACCTATCTAGTGTGATACTGAGAGTACCTACATTATCAAAGCAGATATTTTTGCTGACCTTAATTATTAATTCCATTAGGAAGATCTTACAGTGATCAGAAGAAATGAAATTTAACAAATGTTTATTACTCTGAGGCCAAACTCAAAGTATTATCAATCTGACATCAGGTCTGAAGACATAAGGACCTTGTTTACCACTTGAAGGTCAGCGCTATGTATTGGACAGTGTAAATATGCTAAATCAGAATTTGTAAGTCAGTTTTCACTTTGCGAGTTTATTGTCTAAATAATCATTGTTAGATGTAAATACAGATTTTCTGGTATTAGGAACAGGAAATATTTAATGTGACAATTTCATGTGAAAAAGACAGCTGATGATTTGTGCCCTTAGACAATGAAGTATTGATAATAACTTGCATGAATGGTATATCCATGTGGTTTATTACAACTGTATTTACAAAGCAAAAGAATAAAGGATCAAGCTAATTCTATAGAAAATACATTGTGCAGTTTTTACACAATATAGTACAAGCTTTAGACCAGGGATTTGGTGCTGTTTAAGGCAGAGATGGATATGTAAAAGGTTCCAATGGATTTAAGTACCAGGTCATTTTATCTTATGTTACAATTAACATAGATGCTTTAAGAAAGGCAAGGACTCCCTTACTGCCTTCACTTCTTAGTACAGTCTGATATGGAAAATTTACAGAAAATTTGCTTTGATTTTTTGTATTACACACTACACCAATAGTGGATTAAAAGGTTTTATCTCTGATGCCAGTAGGAACTCCACTTAGGTCCTAACTTAAACTGGTCTGAAAGCATTAATCCATATCTTTGGTTAACTAGGAGAATTGCAGGAATCAGTGAAACCCAGTATTTTGTAGGGTGATTGATTGGCCCGCGTATGGAGGGACATTGATCACGAAGGACAGAGTTGGTCTGTCTTTACATGTATTGATTGTGCCATCCCTAGCGAGCTAAACTTGTTTCCCTCGCGAGCTGTTCTACATCTCTATAGTCTGCTGTAACAGCTTGTCTCTTCTGACAGAAAAATCTACATTGGGAAAAACAAACAGCTTTTAAATGATTTAATGGATTTGGAAACAAGGATATTTAGTATCGATTTTAAACACTCCACAATGCGATATCTTATTTCATTGCATTATAGTGTCTTTGGGTTTATTAGAACTAGAGATTTATGAGTTTGAAGAACTGCACTCCCCTAAAATCTGACATCATTGCCAAAAATTCTACTTAGACATGTTACAAATCTCAAAACCTATGACATCAGTTTCTGAAAGTATGACACAAGATCTTGTAAAACGGTGGCACATCATTTTCCAAATCCAATACAACAATCTTGAAAACTGCACATATTTTCCCTAATACTTTGACAGATTGGAAAAAAAACTGTTACACATAATCATTTTTCCAAACTTGACAGATTGATTA